AAAAAAAACTGACTTACATTGTCTCTATATTATCTGAACATTTTAACACTGATTCTATTCTTACGATTACCAGATATTTCACAGATACCAGAAAAACCAGTTGATTCATCATCCATCACTCTTATCACCATTGCTGTGAACCATTGTTTGCATTTCCGTCAAAATGTTCTGTCATATCACCTTTGTTTTTTGTTTTGATCCTTTACATATCTACGTAATTTGCACACATATTTGATGTTGTTTTAAATCGCAATTATGACCAACAATCCTCCAACATAATCCTATTATTTGGAAAACACTTTACACGTATAAACAACATCAAAAATTACCTAATACTCGGTACCATCTTGCCCTGATTTTTCATTTGAACGTCTCTATCACTCAACTGGTTTATAAGACAAATTCTAATGAACGTTAAACATAATGAAAGAGCAATTATGACTATGCTATTCACTTGTTTTATCAGCTATAACTTATTGATGCAAAGTTAAGTTTTTTTTTCTTTAAACAGCAAGTTTACAGTTTCAATAAGACAATCACAGTATTTGCTGTTCATCAAAGCTACAATTTTGTCCCGTTTTTGTGAAAAAAAATACAATTGAAGCCAAAAATGAAGTTGCACTACACAAACAAACCAAAATTTCCAATTTCCTGAATCATTTATCTCATCCAAGTCTGAACTATTGTCATTAGTATTCTGCAGCGGCTATTTGTGGACCGAAACAATCGATGCCCACTCTATGATGACGTCCCAAGAAAGTAGATTTGAAATGCCGACTAAAACTGATCTGATCTTTTCGGTTTTCATAAAAGAAGAGAAAAGAAGATGCAAATTCCGCTAAACATGAGATTTTGATGTTAAACGTCACAGAATAAATTGTCAATTTCTGAATAACGGTTGTAATTTTTTTTTTTTTGCTTCAGCCATTCCTCTTCGGGCTATCTATAGGCAATGATAATTTGCCAAAAAAAACCTGATTGACAAAAAAAAGCCTAATGCTTTTCCTTATTTGGTAAAAAAAACCTTAAAACTTTTTTTTTCTCTCACTAACAAAAAGCAGATGCCACAGTAATTGTTTCCATAAACATATAAGAGAAGTTACCATTCATTTTTTGAGACTGATCCTAGCGAAGCAATTTATGGTTTTTGTCCAAGACTCAAAAATATTT